GTGTGGATGTGGGTGTCCCTTATCTTAGCTCGAATCCACACTCACACCCTCGTGCATAGCCAACAATGGTTTGATCGTCCGTGCAAGTTGTCGAATCGATGGATTAGCAAACAAGAGAGATCCATTGATTATAGGGCAAATATCTTTTCGAATGAGAGAGAGCATTCGTAAAACATCTAATGATGTTCCACCCATCTCGCTAAATGATTGGGTTACCTCGGGAGACTCACAACCAAGTACCTGACTGAAGATGTGACTTAGACGTGCTTCTAATTGTATTAATGATAAAGAATCAGCATTAATAACAGTCGGCAAGTGAGATTTTCGAAGCAAGTCTTGATCTATTGTTCCATTATCATTTCTCGGTAATTTTTCAAGTAGAATAAACATCGATGGAATCATATGAAAAGGTAAATAAGATTGACAATACTCATATAATTCATTTTCTGTCATATCACAACCATCGACATAAGCAATCAAATGATCATCATCCCATTTTATAATAACACATGCTGATATTGATGTATTGAGTAAACATTGTTCAATTTCACCAAGTTCAACATGTTGTCCATGCAACTTGATTTGATAATCTTAAAATACATCTTATTTTTAATCAAGAGGTATCATACTTCTACTAATAGAGTAGATACAGGGTTCTGGACCTTTGCCGATAAGACTTTCTGACCTCATTATCTCAATATTGTTTTGCGACAATTGGCAAAAGTCTTATTTGTCAACTTCCAGAATCCCGTAAATATCATTCAAATAAATTAACATACCGTTGTTATTCATATCTGATAAGTGACGAAATGTTACTTTTTGCATATGTTCAACTTCATCTGGGAGAGTAATAGACAGTTTATCAATCTGATCAACTCTTGACTTTGTTGTAAATATCTGAGAAAATACAGCTTGAAGTTTTCGACCTATTGTATTAACTGTAGTTTCATCAAATACATCGCGTGAGCCATAAACATTAAATAATAATTTTCCAGTTTCAACTGTTGGATTGTATACAAACACCGCATCTACATCAAAGTATGTTGCTTCGTGTAAGTGTTCAACGGATACTCCTTCTAAATTTGACTCATCCAAAGATAATTTATTGATATTAGGAGATACAGTGACAAGTTCAAATAAAATATCAAGAAAAGAAACATTTGAATAATTACGTCGAAAATCAGCGAGAATGTATTGCAATGGATAATGAGTATGTTGAAAAATTGATAAACAATTTTCTTGAACATGTTTAACAAGGTCTTCAAACGACCATTGCGAATTAAGTTGAATTCGAAATGGTAATGTTGCAACAAACATTCCAATTATATTTTGTAATTCAGTTCTGTGTCGATTGGCATGTAAACAGCTAAAGCATAAATCATCTTGTCCATCAGTTAATTTAAATAGAAATGCATAAAATATACTCATTGCTAACTGAAAAGGTGTTATATGATGTAAAGTAGCATATTCCAAAAATGCTGCCGAAATATCATCATCGAAATATATTTCAGTGACAACCTGGAAACCTGATCGATAGTCGGTGGATAAACAATATCGGTCAAAAGGTAATGATATTGAACGTGCGAAGTTATAATCCTTCAATTGAGAATACCAAAATTCATGCGATTGTGTCATATCCATTAAACGCTCATATACGGTACTATCGATACATTGCATGACATTTTCGTCAACAGGCAACGAACAATCATTTGTATAAGCAACAGAAAGATCGTTAAGAAAAGTTGATATTGATGCTCCATCGAATACTATATGATGAATTGTGAATATAATTAAATCATCCATAATCAACGTATCCTCATTATAAGATAAGTCACCGAAGTCATGACGATGAACAATATGACAATTCAGAACACGTCCTTTCGACAAATCAAATAAGTCAGAACGACTTATTATTTTTTGGATTACTTCGTCAATTTTAACATCGCTATTAATATTGACTACCGAAAACCCATATGGTTCTTGATCATTGATCGTAGCATTGATATCAAGGCAATATTGTATGATCATACCATTTATATCGAGATAAAATCCTGTACGTAAAACACGATGTTTTGCGACAACTGTGTGTAGTGCTCGATGCAATCGATCAATCGATAAATGATTGTTAGTCGTGAAAATACGATAAACTGATGGATTAACATACATGAAGTTGTGATGTTTAGATGGAAAACGAATTTGTTCATCCAGGAAGATTCGTTCTTGAGCAAATGATGCTCGAGCTAGAATGAGAAAAAAGATGAATATGTAGTTGATAATAATATCTAGTACAATTTTTTTTGTTTACCTTGAGTTAGATGTAATGAAGACCAGACATAATCATCCAGAGCGTGGATAGTATTGATAGATTGCTGAACGAGTTGTGCATGATGAATAATTGTTGGATGTTGAAAAAGATTACTGATAGAAAGAGAATTTGTTTGTAAATGAAATTTGATCTTGTATTGATGAAATAGTTGCATCATAAGTAATGAATGACCGCCAATAGTAAAGATGTTTGTATCAGTTGAGATTTGATTTTGTTTGAATATCTCACACCAAATATGATGAATACCAACTTCAATATCATTTGTTGGTAGTAATAATTCTATACTGTTTGTGAGATGTATTGATGAGAAGTGAGGTGGCGGAAGAAGTTTTCGATCTATTTTTCCATTTGTATTCAAAGGTAGTTTCTCAAGTATAATAAAGAAAGATGGAATCATATGTGGTGGAAGATGAGATTGACAATGTTGACGTAGTTCTCCTTCATTCATATGAGAAGAAGATTGAGCATAAGCAACTAAATAATCATCATTCCATTTCATAACAACACAAGCAGAGACGGATGTGATGTTAAGTAAACACCGTTCGATTTCACCAAGTTCAATTCTTTGTCCATGTAATTTGATTTGATGATCTTTTCTTCCTTGATAATGAAGAAGGCCATTATTATCCATTCTAACAAGATCACCTGTTCGATAGAATAGTTGCCCATCTATTTCAACAAGAGCTTTTGCAGTTAAATCATCACGTCCAAAATAACCATCAAAGACACCTACTCCACCTATAAGCAGTTCACTTTCTTGATCGATAAACACACTTTGTGAGAATTTATCGAAAACTAGATTTTGATAATTTGAAAGCGGTCTGCCTATTGGAAAGCTTTCAGTCTCGATTGTGTTATCGAAAAGATGAAATGTGCAAGCAATTGTTGTTTCAGCAGGACCATATATGTTCCATAGTCGACAAGTGTGCATTACAGTATTTGATATTAAATTTATTAGTTTCAAAGAGCAAGGCTCACCTAGACATGAAATCATATGATATCAAAAATAATACATCTCATATAAGCATTACATACCAGCACTACAAACTGACCGCAGGTATTGTGTAACAGTATGATGATTTTGTTGTTGCATATAGGTGAAGAAATTATGAATTATAGTTGGAACAGTAGTAATACAAGTAATATTCTTTTCTTTGAAAACGCTAGCAAGATAGTCAAAGTCGATAATTCCTCTTGGATGTAGCATAATCAGACTACTTCCAATCATAAAAGTGCCCATTATATCTTGGACATGAGCATCATAAGAACAACGTCCGATTTGAAGAATCGTGTCTATTTCATTCACTACATCACCATAAACTAGTGAATGCATAAATTCAGTAAAATTCTTGTGCTGTATCTGAACCTATAAGAAAGCACAAAATCAGTCAAATACCAAGAAGCTAAACTTCAACAAACAGCTTTAGGTTTTCCAGTCGAACCACTCGTAAAAATGATATAAGCTAGATCATCGAGTGCAACTCTTATACTTGATAGTTGATCAATATCAATATTCACTTCCATATTATTAACAGTTAATATTGAATTAATATCAAATGAAACAATGTCATCATCAAATTTGGTCTTAGTTAAATCATGAACAAGAACAAGACGACTTTGAGTTTGTTGTGTGAGTGCATGCAAACGATGTGCTGGGTCTCTATGTGATAATGGACAATAGACACCACCGCTCATTTCAATCGCCACTATACCAATCACCTATAGAATATGAAAGCATCAATCAGAAGAAACAACAATCTCAAACAACAAATCACCATTGGCAGACTTCTCTCGACACATTGACAAATGATTTCACCGGGAACAACATGATATTCATTACGAAGAGTTAAAGATAATACTTGTGCATAATGTAAGAGTTCACAATATGTCAATGATTGTTCATCTAGTTCAACAGCTAGTTTTTGTGGATGTTTCATTACTTGATATACAAACTCATGGTGAATACAAGTGAAAGCAGATGGAAATGATATTTCTGTATTATTTAATGATTGCATTAGATATTTTTCATTTGGTAATGCTAATGATAATTCATGGATAGGTTTGTTCATTTGATTATCAATCATAGATGCAGATAATTGACTTAAGATGAAATGAAATCGTTGTGAAATCTTTTCCACTGTCTCTCGATTGAACAAATCAAGTGATCCATTGATTGTGCATGACAGTTGATTCATGTTGGTATCATGATAAATAGAAAGAGAGAAGTCGGATATACTTAATATCTCATCTTCATTAACATTGAATGAGAAAGATCCTGGCACAAGTTGAGAATCACCAATCATAATTGCATTGTTGTAGTTGTTGCTCTTGTATGATATGAATTCCAAAGATGTATCTAAAAATGCATGTTTTGAAATATGTGGATGTTGGTTGAGAATACGTTGAAGTGGAAAATATGAATATTTCATGCTATTTGTTGTTATCTCTTGAACATGTTCGAGTAGTTGATGTAAGCACCAACGAGGATCTAACTGACATCGTAATGGAATGACATTCTGAAACACACCAATGATCGGTTCGCGTTCGTCTCTATATCGATTATTATTGATGTTCATAGCAACACATAGATCTGTTTGTCCATTAGTTAATTTAAATAGAAAGATGAAATAAATAGCAAATGTGAGATGTTGAAGTGATATGTTATTTGATGATGCATGAATAAGAAAGTCATGTGAGAGATCTTGACCAAAATCAAATGAAATAGATGTTCCACGATCGGTTCGATGTTCATTTGCAAGATGATATCGATCATAAGGTAATGGTAAAGATTGATCAAGTTTACAATCATGAAGAGCGTCAAGCCAGAACTTACTGGCTTCCGACTTTGTCATTTGTCGGTTGATTGTTGAACGTTTTAGAACTGTGTATATACTTGGATCAGATGAAAATATTTGTGTGTCGCTCGATTCTAATAATGACATTTGCTCATTGGGAAGAACGATATTTAGTTTGTGAATAGATTGTTGAAGCATCGGAAATGAAAAGAGTTGTGTGAGGATATGCTGAAAACGCTTTGATAGTATATCGACATCATCTTGATGTTTAAATATATCAGCCGAACAATTCCAAAAACATTCTGTACTTGGTGTATGATGGTCATGGATAATTGTAAGAGACATGTCGAATGGTGATATACCGTTTTGGTGATTTAGATCTCTATCATAGTAACCGCTTGTAACTGAACCTTCGCTCAAAGTTAATTCGATTGAGTTTTTCTGCGTCACCGCTAATTTTAAAGGTTCATACTGGAAAAACATTGAAGGTAATACATTAATTTCTCGTTTACCTTGGGAATCAACGATCTGTTGATATGATAAAAAAGCATGCTCAAGAATTTCATTGTTTAACTGTTGTATTTGTTGCACGAGTTGTTTAAGTGTAGTATTTGGTTCAATTTTGATTCTATATAATAGAAGATTGACAAACATACCAATCATATCTTGTGTCTCTTTCTCAAGACGATCAGCTGCGCTGCTTACTACACACAAGTCATTATCATGGTTGGTTAGTTTAAATAAGAATATATAGTAACAGGCAAGAGACAGAGAAAACATTGTCACATTGTTGGTTGAAGCAAACGACATCATTGCATCGACAACATCCTGATCGATAGTAAATGAAGTTGAATAACCACGGCCAGAATGATGTCGATCAGTTCGATCTTCAGCGGGCACCAAATATCGTATTTTATCCCAGTCGTATCCATGCATTAGATTAGCCCAAAACCAACGAGCCGTGTTCATTTTTGACTCTGCACTTCTGTCGGCTAGCAGTGCCTGTTCGTATAGTGCAAAGTTGATGTATTGTGGAATTGTTAATACTGATTGATGATATTCATTCCTCAAGCATGCTCGTTCAAAGGCTTTTAGAAATGGTTTGTATGAGGTGAGATCAAATGCGATATGGTGAATCACAAAAATAATAAAATCACCTTCGTGCAGTGAATCATCATTACCAACAGCAGATCGTTGCACTACATGGCATCGTAAAACTTTTCCGTTTTTAACATCGAAATATTTTCCAGTAGACTCGCTTGTCAGTAGACGATCAAGTTGTTCTAATGTGGAAACACCTCGGGAATATTGAAACGAATAAATATCGTCGATGAGTGGTCGAATGTTTTGCTCGATTTGATTGTGTATTGGATTGAAACGAATGGCAGTGCGAAGAACTGTATGCTGCTGAATCACTGAAACTAAGGACAGACGAACATGTTCTATTGACACTGAACCGCGTTTTATTATCAATGGGATTACGTAATTGTAGACAGAAAAATCGGAAGCACTAAAATAAAGATTTTCATGCATGTAGATACGCTGTTGAGCAGATGAAGCTACAGCTTCTGTTCGTCCAGAAACCGTTAGTCGTTGTACTTTATGATCAGAAGTCGCTGCTGTTTGTTTCTTATTTAGAAACATTTTTTTGTAATAAACAAATAGAAAATATATATTACTAATGTAAAAGCCAATTACAATCTAGAAATTATAAAAAGATAAGAAGAGAAAACATGAATTTGGACACATCAGAAAAAAGTTCACAATAACTAAATTTGTTATCTATTATTGTAATTAGAAAACTGAACTGCAGTTTCTATCATTCATATCAGAATTCGATGACGTACCATATATAATATTTTACAATCACACAAGAAACGAATTAAGAGAATGTGATATTATACTGTATAAGAAGAAAAAAACAATGTTAGTTTGTTAGTGTTAGTAAATATTCATAGAAGAGCTTGTTTAGAACAAATATACCATCTTATAGTAATATCTGTGGAATAATCGAAGAGTCAATATTTTTTCAATGATCAAAATACTAAGTTTTCATCAATAAATTAAATGACATATAGAGAAATTACGATGCAGTATAGTATCACAATGAATGCAAGGCTCAATGCTTTAATCTAACTTAATCACAATGAGAGGACAAAGTGAAAACAGTTCTGATGACTTTCATAAGTAACAAACGCCATAGGAATTTTTTTAAGAACAAACCGTAATCATGACTTGCTCTTAGAATTTTATGACCAAATACACATCTGATTAAAGCTAAAGCTTAAAATATGGTAATATTGGCATTCAGAGTGAAGAAATATAACAAACCATTCAGTCTAATGCAAATGATACAGAAGATATTTATTTAAGTTCATAAAGTTTAACCTATTCTATTAGAGTAGACTAAATTCAATGATGATTATTTCACGAAATATCTATAAAAATCTTTAAGAATAAAATTCTATAATATCTTCACTTTCAGTCTCATCATGAGTTTTATTCAATACACGTTTTTGGTCTATCCTAATTGGTTCATGTATTATTTAACTTGATAATTGAAACACATTTTGTCTACGATAAACAGATGTTTTAGTCATAGTTCTCTATAACTACAGTTACATTGATAACTGTTGATGGAATATTTTACTGTAAACTATTGCATATGGTTAGGTATGTGTAGGTGGATGGGGATGTGGGTGTAAGTATTCTATCTATGCACACCCACTCACACTTATACTCATACCCACACCCATACCCTATTTACTTATATTGTTGTAGATAAGCGAAACATGTAATAAATAAACAAATAAATCAGCAAAGCAAACCATAATACTAATTTTCTTGCTTGCGCAGAATTTAACCTAAAAAAACTAAAAATTAAACCAACTTGAGATTGTAAGACTGGTTCTGCTTGTGACGATAGCTTTGGGTATGTCTCAGAGTTGCGAGTGAAGAAGGAATCACTATCCAACTCCACACCATCACGAAAATAAAAGGACTAAAATAAATCGGCCCTAATCACCAAAACAAAATTAATTGAATAAGCCTCTATTCTATAAAAATTGATCGTTTCCCTTGACTCACTAGAATAGACCCACTATTTATATCCCGTATTACAAAAAAGCTTTCTATTTAATCCGTCAAGTAATACATACCTAACGTTCTACACGCCATTCAATATCTCCTTCTACCATTCAAGACACAGACCAAAAGAGTGAAACACGATCCATATATCATTGTACTCAATTAATAATTATCAGTTAACGGTGCCAGTTTTTTGAAACTCATACTCGCATTCATAAACTACAGTGATCATTTAATCATAAATCAAATACATCAACGAAAAAAAGTTAACGACAACTCATCTGGCCTATTCAAAATGAACCACATCGATTATTCTTCCATGTATAGTTATCTTTTATTCCGAACAAGATTTCATGATTAAATTCATTACCGGAACTGAAAAAAACGACAAAAAAAGAATGTTATTGATTCTATAAAAAAATCAACATGAAACCAAATTTTATCTTCACCCTGCGAATAACACATGTAGCGGCAACTCACTACCATGTCGACGTTTGTATCAATTTCAATTCCATCAGATAGCATAAGTGCGCCATATAATATTCCATACTAGAGAAACATGGGTCTTGTTTACTAACAATAGTCATATAAATCATTCAATAGTTGGAAAATGTAAAGAAAAATAAATTATTTTACCCCGCATAATAATCATATAGCTGCAGATCACAATCATCTTGAGCTATAGACCAATTTCAATTCTCATCAGTTATAGTACGTTCACCATCTAATATTCCATTTTGGAGAAACATGTATCTTGTTCACTAATGATAATAAAATAACTTATCTAATATGAAAAAAATATAGATAACAATAAGTTTTAGTGTTACTCCAGCAGCTACTGATCTTAATGCGATTTAATACAAGCACGATTTTTGAAGCAATTCCCATAGTCATCAGCTAAAATAAGTCCACCATCCATAGATAGAAATCGAAGAATTATGTGTTTTGGCGCGGTGCAAGGATATAGATGCTTATCTGCATGCACAGTGAAAAATGTTTTTAATGACTGAAAAACAGAAAATTTTATTATGACATATCAAGGAGATAAATGTTTACTTGTATGCACATTAAAAGTAATTACCGATGAGCCTAAAATATAATACTTTGGTGTGACTGGTAAGAATGAGAATGAAAAAGATTATTTGATTGAGGTTGCGGGTGGCCCGTATGTCTCTCGTTCAGAAAAGATATTTATCGAAATCGAAAAAAAAAGATTTGCGTATGTTTTTTCTAAATTTAAAATCAATGTCCCGCATGTCCCCCTTATAAACAATGTTCATAATAAATGAGAAATCTATATACTCAAAAAATTAATTTTTTTCATCACTTTTATCTTTAATCTAAATATTTTTTATTAAAATTGATTGAATTTATTCAAATAGGCAACATTTTACTTTGTTATTAGCCCAAGAAAATATCTTTCATATATCAAATTTAATCTACAACCATAAACTATTCTGAATTCTCTTTTTCTTTAAACTAAAAACATAGATATAATTTCTTTATTTCTAGCATTCCAAACTCAACTAAATTCTCTAACCGACTAGCACACACATAAATGATAGAATTACTTTAGTTTTACATTATCCGCATCTTATTCATTGCAATATTTATATATATTGCGAAAATAAATTTTCATTTTTTTCCACGTGACTCTACACTGTATTATGTGAAGAAAGGCGAGAATATATATACAATACTCGTTATTCTTTGCTTATTTACTCATGCTTCGCTGATTTTTTTTCTTTCTAATCCTTTTAACAATCGTTTAATATGCTACAAGCAAGCCATACTATACATCGAATAAGATTTTATCAAATAATCGAACATCATATCAAATAATATGATAATGCAGCTCAATCAATAGTATAAGGTATGCACATTGATATTCTAGTTAGTTTCACAACAAAGACACAAACTCGATGCCAGTAAAATGTCAAAAAACAACAGATAAAATAAAACTGTATTCATACTGTTTTTTTTCTTTATTGCAAGGTTGGTTATATGAAACAAAGGTTCAAATTATCTAATTCTTCTAATTTTTGAAAATACATTTACTGGAATTATGAAAGGCATTATATGATTTCTGGTAATAGTCCAAAAGCTGTAAGTAATCTATTTATCTTGATTTCTGCTTTAATGTCAATGTGTATATTTCTGAAAAGAGTCGAGCTAAGTAAAAACTCATTGTTACTTATTTTAAATATGAGGATTAGTATTTTTACAGATTGTAAAAATATGCATAAGTGATGCTGAATATTCCGCTATTGTTTAAAAAGAAAAACTGAAAAAGAAACGATTCGAAAATAAACGAATTGATTAAAAATGCATTTTTGAGCGGATAGTCCTAAAAAGTAAAAGTACGCATCTCTTTTGTTGTATGTAATGTATTTTAAAATAGTCAAGAGTTCTTTTCCTTTCGAGATTGTCATTGAAAACAATACTGTATACATATACAATGCAGTTTAAAATTATTTAACATCACTCCCACTTTTAAATAGATTTTAAATAATAAGAAAAATGGGAAGAAATTAAGAGTTATCGCCGTAATTAATTGGTATAGTGATGAATGCTAAATGAGTATATTATTTCCTTTTGATTTTTCTAACATCGAAATTCTTCATTCGATAAAAAAACTATTATACAAACGAGCTGTGTAACTAAAGATAGAAAAAGACAATATATTGCATCATCTCTACACTTCTAAAAGAATGTACAAAATCACCGAAAAAAAAAAATCATTATTCATTATTTCCAATCTAGAATTATTATTAGATTCGAGTAGAGGAAAGATGAGCGCTTATGTAAATAAAATCTCCACTCCTGAATAAGTATGTACCTTTTTTTAAAAACGTTTCTCTGCCTGAAGTGTGGTCCCCATTGACATAATAACATATTGAGATGCAATTTTGACATAAATGCAGTTTACTTTTCGCATTTTATCTGTCCGAATTATTATTCTTTTTCACTGTAAAGTATGTATACTATATAAGAAACTTTAAAACTAATATCCTTTGAATCGGCACATAGTTTTATCATACATTCGCACAAAAACATGTCTACACTTCAGCCAAAGAAAATAGTATATTTTTTGCAAACAAACAGCCAGATCCAGTGCAGTCAAATTATTGAGTGGAGGCAGGACCACAGTAGG